TTTTTTGTGCTGTTCAATGAGCCAATTATCTGAAAAGATGTATTTTCGTTTTGTAGGAGGACAACAATACGTACTGAACTAATGAAATTTGACGGATCAGCACTAAGCTGAAATTCTCCTGGCTGCTGGTACGTCAGGTGATTTACTTAGGGGTACGTATTTTTTATAAGCGAAAAGTTTATTTTTCAGGTACTCCTGCTATCTTTAACCGACTCAATCAATGAGTATAACAAAGATTTTTTTTCTTTTCTTTCTTTCTTTTTTGGTCAACAACCTTGACCATGTTTTGGAATTCTCCATTTAAGTCATGCAATCAACCAGGAATGTGTTTCAAATAACAAGCACCATGAAAAACAAGGCTGAATTTATTGGAAGGCCAACAGTACTGGTGTGTTCTATATCGGTGTTTATTTACACGCCAGGTTTCGCAGACTTGGTTAAAACGACTGAGCCCAAAGTAGATAGTAGTCAACTCCAACAAATCGCATTTAGAGGCGTTTAGCAGAGAAAAATCCAAGAGCTGCTTTCGGACGGTTTCGTTTGTTGACTAAAACTGTAATGTTAAAGTTAAAGACGAGAAATAAGATTCATTGAAGATTCAAGATCATGATTTGTTTACGTGTCAGATATCAAGTTACTCACGTGGCGCACGATTAAGGTATAAAAATACTCTCTTTTTCCTAATTTAATAAGCTTAATGTTTTGTCTCGGTAATTAAGAAGAATCAGAATCAGTAGTTCATTTTTAAGGCTAAACGATGTTGTCATGGCTGGTTATGAAAGCGAGTTTATGAATTTGTCCAGGGAAGATACGCTTATTTTCAACAAGATACTTATGTTTTCATATTCCTGGTAACTGTTGCAGCAGACTTTTGTTCTCGCATTAGTAGTTCCTTAGTGTAGCTTGAAAGAATATCAGTTGTAGAAATTGGCAAGTTGTGGATGTACTGCAAGACAATATATGTGTACGGTTTAAGTCTGATAATTTTTGTGTATTCCTTTTAACGCTTACTTAATACTTTCTAGTGGATAAATGGAAGCCAATGATTGTAACTAAGTGCATCTATGTTCAGAAGGATGTATGTTAATACATGCAACAGAAATTTAGGAAAATAGGAATATTAAAGTGCAGGTTCTCTACAAGTGAAACTCGCAATTGATTGGACGTGGTAAATTCATAAACTTGACAATTTGATTCCGATCCGTTGTGCTCGGCCTCTCTTACTCTCTTCTATTAGTCTCCCTCCCTCCCCAAATTAACTACCGGTCAAATTAATACACCTTCGCTCAAACCCACTCGATTATGACTGCATGAAACCCAGTCTGGTCCTGCTTTTGCTGAGGTTTTAAGAGGTTACCCGCTAGACTTCAGTTTCAACAGAAAATAATAACTTTCGAATTCCCAGAGGAAAAAAATGCTGGTAGCGAATCCTGAGAGCACTCGACAGCGAACGAAAGCTTAAACTGCAGTCCTTTTCATAACCTCCGGCATCCCCATTTGTTACTGCTTTTCTAGCAACAAATCTGCGTAAATCTGCGTGTATTACTTTTTGTTTTATTTATGTTTAGAACTGGTAAGGAAAAAACGAACACGCAAGAGCATTTGTATTTCACAAAGGGTAACAAAAAACTGCCTCGAAGTTTATTAGTGTGGCTCCAAATCGGTTGAAAGGTAAAGCGTCATGCCTAAATAAAGTATTCAACATCAAACTGCTTGATATCCTCAGCAAAGAAGTATTCAATTTCAAACATGAAGTTATATAAATAACAATAAGAAGAAACTAAATTTATATAGCGCTATTTCCAGTAGCTTAATAGCCCTTAACAGAATTCATAAAAACAAAAGTAATCAATTAAAGATTTACATCGAATGGTAATAACACGAATTTCCAACTATTTACATTACATGTACTTAGCTAAAGTTTTTGATAAAAATCTAACTAGAGTAGACGCGTTAAAACTAAAATTCCTAAAAATAAACCAGTTTTTATCATAACGCTCTAACTGCTAACCGTTTTACCTTAAAGTATCAACGCACATTGACACACACCAACCTGTTTATCTGTGTATTCGATATGGTGCACATGAGTTGTGGTGGCACCGTTGCCCAGCTCCTGGCATAGGAAACTAGTCTGTAGGCATCCATGAGGCCAAATCCAACGTAATTACTGACTGCAAATAACAGTAAGTTGAAATTTCAACAGAGCCGTAATTTGAGAGGAGGGAAAAACAGGAGGACCGGGAAAAAACCCTCTTGAAGCAAAAGCGACATCCAGCAACAAACTCAACCCAGATATGGAGTCGCTTCCAGGATTCCATCCCTGAGCAGATTGGTGGGAGACGACTGCTCTTACCACTAAGCCATCCTTGCACCAATCTTGCACTAACGAGTGCAAAAATCGTCTATAAGTGTGACAAGTGCCGAAGCATACACTGTTGTATTTGTTATTAAGATAAGCATCACGTAATATGTCAATGTAAACATTTAAGTAGGCTTTATAAGTTACTTCGGTGTGCCTATTTCCGTCATGTAGCTGTTTCCTACGGGTGCTTCAATAAGGTTTCACTGTACACGTTTCTAAGTAGAAAACCATAAATTCTACCTGTAAGATTAGCACCATTCGTGATCCAGTCCATTGCTTTGAGTATTTTGCTATCCGCTCTTGAACTCCTTATGATGATATGCTGCACGTCTCTCCAGCTCAAGGTCTTGCTGGTTCAAATAAAAATAAAGAAAACTGCTGAACTTGCGTGAAGTTTAAGCGACCTCTTTCTGTTTTTTTTGCTTTGTCTGCCTTTTCTTTTTGAAAAAAAAAAAAAACGTTCTGTTTTATTTCAGTCAATTTGAATTAATAGCCCCCTCTACTGAAGATGGTGAAAGTTGCAGTGCATCATGAGAGAAGGACACGATTGCCACCAAACTAGCAGATATAATACTAGGAGAAATCTGTCGGGGGATTTCGGAGTTATTTACATTTTTTTGTAAAAACGAGGTTTTCAATAGATATACTTTACCTAAATACTTTACTATACTTATATTTACCATACTTTACCTAAAGTAAGAACAAATTGTGGAATATTTAACTTAAGATTTATGGGCCCCAAAGTATGGAACTCAATTAGTGAAAATTTGAAAACCTTCTCTATTTCAAACTTCAAGGAATCAGTAAAAAGCGATCTTGTCAAAGATTATTAGTTACTTATATCCTTATTAGCAGTTGTGCTGTTTCCCAAATTACCTGTAAATTAGTCTTTTGTTAAATTCTGTCACCTTTTCAAGTTCTTCTTATATTTATGTTTTGTATTCGTTTATAAATTTAACTATTTCAGACTTCCTTCATAGCGTAGAAATAGCGTTTTTCCTCTTCTCCTTTTTTTTCTTTTTCTTTTTGTGTGTGCATTTTTGCTTCAGTTTTCTTGCTGACCTGTTATTTAATTTTATTTAATGCTGATGTCAACTGGCTGCCTGGCTCCGCTAGCCTCAAATTTTTACTTTCAATATTTTCATTGTTGTAATTTATTTTTGAGCAAGAGTGAGTACAATAAAGATTGTTGTTGTTGTTATTGTTGTTGTTGTCAATAGAGACCGATATTATAAACACTTTTGTACCTCAAGAAAATCAATAACATTTTCTTAAAGTTCAATCATTCTTCAGATTCCAAAAATCGTAGGAATCTTTCCTGCCAAAAAACGCGATTAAAAAACATGACCAACAGGCATATAAATAGGTTCGGGCCACCTTATCAAGTTTACGACAACTACCCCAGCCAATACCTATGCCTCTTATGCCTCTATTCAAAGATCTTTCTCATCTCACCTTCTTGTGAGGTACTCTTAAGGGACGTGTCGCCCGTCCTCAGACTTCCTGAATTAGTGAGTTTTGAAACCAAAAGTACAGGTTTCTAAGACCAACTTCTTGAGAAAAAGGTCTGCTTCTAGTTCAACGTTTCCTTCACTTTACGAGGGATTGACGAGGACCTTACCTACTGCTCTCGGATGTGCCAATCTCGCTTTCTTATATGGCCTTTAAATCACTCTCCCTGTGACTGTAACTTACTCAATCGCGTAATACAAGTTGAACTCACCCACACAAACTAAAAAAAGCAATCCACTATTATCCAAAATGGAATGCTAAATAACATGTTACTTCATCGTTTATTGTATATGAACCTACTTTGATTCAAGAGCCAAAGCAATGAGTCCAGATGCCATGGCAGTAGCAGCAGAGCTGGCAGAGAAACTGTCTGTACATTCTCCATAATGGCTTGCTGTAATCTGTGGTCAGAATCGCAAATTAACAAGGTGACGAAATTAATTTTTACTTAGGGTCATACCAAGATTTTAAGAACGAATATTACAAAGGCTTGAGCAAAATTGAAAATGGTCAATAAAAACCTTTCTTCATACTGGGCATCAGGAGGCTGCTGGCAAATTCAGGCCAAAAATTGAACTTTTGGGAACAATTTTTTCCTTGAAAATTGGAGTTTTGTTAAGTAAATATTTCACAGAGCAGACAAACTTTCAAATATCTTTTAACACCGTAGAAATTTATCTACACCTTTCCCCCAACAAAAATCTTATTAGTTTTTCTTCCCCCTCCCCCACCCCCCAAATCGACAGTCCCAGTAATGTGTGTGTGTTGTGTGTTTTTGCGAATGACGCGGGCATTCGATGCGTTTTAGCATGCCAAGCAAACTAAGGAAACTCATTACCTCTTCATTTTTTCCCGCCAAGATTCTTGCCAAAGCAATTAGGAAAAATGGTGACATTAGCGATCTATTTGTCAAAGATACTGAGTTTAAGATAAGTAAATACGCTGACGACACAACCCTCATCGTTAATGGCTCAGAAAAATCACTTCTTGAAGCCCAGAAAACTTTGGAATGCTCAGTGCAAAGCCTCAGGCCTCAGGCACAACAATAAAAAAACTGAAGCTTTTTGGATTGGATCTTTTGTTGGAAAACTTGGGTCGCTTTCCATTCAACGAAAACTTTCGAAAATTTGGAAACAGCGGCAAATGGTACAGAAATTTCCCGGAAAAGTTTCCAGAAATTCCAGAAACTGTTGAATTTCCGAAATGCGAACCATTCAACCGAAAATTCTGGAAATTCGGGGAGCAAAGATGAATGAAAAGGAATCTTCCGGGAAAAAAATTTCAAAAATTTGGGAATACCCCCAGAGGTTGTCCTCTTTATTCGAAATTTTGGAAAATGCTGTTCCATTCGCTACTATATATACCGGACGCGAGACCTAGTCGCCCTATTCTGGTTGTAAAAAAAATCACTTATATTCAAGCCCTGAGGCTGAATACAGTTAAACCTATAGGCCCACTGGCCTTCTTTATCCCGGAGAGCTGATTCTTCCCCGGACACTCTGTCAATTAACTGTATACTGATATCCTCAAGACCATGGTGTCCCGGGCCAGAAAAATGTCTACATAAAAGATCATCCTTGTTTCTACCCTCAAAAGAAAGCCCTGAATGCGCTCTAAAACGGGCCTTAGGATTGTGAAACTAAGCCCAAATTTTGTTGTTGCTGACCCAACGTACTGCACATGACAAACCTTACAGGACAACAAGTAGACAACATTACTACTATTACAGTCCAGTTCGTAGTTAATTGTATAGCTCTTTCCAGTTCTGTAATTAATATAATTAATATATATAGTAGCAAATGGACAGATTTTCCATTGTAATTGAAACTTTTCAAGTGCGAAGAGAAAGTAAATTACCTTCATGATTTCTGTGCTCGGCCGTCAATCTGAATTCCGCGTATAAACAGCTAAGCTTATTTTAGTTTTTGATAAAAATGTAGTCATAACTTTAAATGGTTCGAGTATATTAAAAGCGTAAATCTGAGCAGAAATTAGACACAACTTACAGATTTCGCTTGCCTCTCACTTAACGCAGGTGAATTGAAAACTTTTTTACGAAAAAACGAGATTCTAGAATTACCGAGATGGCAAAATACGAGCAAAATGTTCTCCGTAGTCGCGACTACGCGAAAGAGCTCGACAACTCACCGTACCCGCTGGACTACGTGGGAAAAATGAACAGTCGCGTGGTTCTGATCATGCGCAGTAGCATGCTTATCCGTACTCGTAGTCCGTAGTCGCCGTATCTTAAAGTCCGTACTAATTGTGAGTCGTTACGAAACGCTGGAAATTGGCAGTGTCAACAGATACCAAACACATGTTGTGTTTTGCCTCGTCGTCGCTTTGGTCATACGTACTACTTTAAGGTATTTCCATTGATCTTGCATTGGTAAAGTTAGGGATGAAATTACAACAGGAATGGACTTGGAAGTCGTCTCTTTTATCTTAGCTGTCAAAAACCATCGTTGCAAACTAGAAAATAACGAATGATCCAGTACTGATTGGTTGAATAACAAAAACACCATACCATTTAAAGCTTCTCGACTGTTTTCTTTGTAATTATTTCAGGATTCCCAACGAAAGGATCGTACGCTAAATCAAACAACAGCTTCGCATCTGCGGTTTGAAAGCTGCGCTAACAAAATTTATTTATGTTGCTCGTCCAATTATATCAGGCAATGATCGTGCGTCCAGCTGTCTTTTCGGGGAGGAGCATGAGCTCCTTTTTCCAAACAGCAGGTAACAGCAGCCTATTTATATGTTACTTCTGCAATAAATAGGACCCAAACCAGCCGCAGGGAATTTAATTTGGAACTCAAGTAGTGTCAGCGGTCCCTGTAATCCGGGAATGATGTTTTCGCTTTAGCCGGCAATATTGCGACCCAGCTTTTGAAGTCCACGACTAAGTGACGCAGCAAGATCTGAAGACTATGGCTTTCACTTCTACGGCCACTAGTTTTACAGCCCTTAGGACCGCATCTAGCAGTCTATTGCCTATAACGAGTTTTTCTTTCTTGTCACAAGCAAGTTCACGAACAATGTACATTGTCAGGGGATACTCTACATATTTTGTCGTAAGGCAGGGATCCTCCACCACACTAGCTCCCCTGTACCTACCTTTGTGTACATTAAAAAATGATACCGAGCAACTCTCCCGGATTACTACTTCTGCAAAGCGGCCAATCTCTGTCGTGTCCTGGCCATCTGGCTGAGGCACATACTGTCCACCACTAGGTTTTTGGACAACTTCGTCAGGCACAGTTTAGTGCAGTCCGATCGCGGCAGCTTTTCGCCAGAAGGCCCACTGAATATTTGGCAGGCCTATCCGATCGTCTTCATCATAATCAACTACCTAACTTTTGTCTAAGTTCATGGATCTATATGAGCTAACTGGGTAACTGTGGTTGATGACACTCTTTCCTGTTCACTTCCCTACTCATTCCTGATAGTGATCTCTACGAGAATCTGCTTTACGCTGAGTTCGCACACATCAGGACTACCAATGGTTCTACTACCAAAAAAAAATCAGTTACTGTGCCCAGTAGGCTAAATGCTCCAATTGTCCTTTGACAGTTGAACAATTTGACCCTGCCAGCCCGCGTCGGTTTGAAATTGTCGACTTGACGGTTGGAGTCCGTTGCGGGTCTGCTCTCGACTCGCCTAACCTCAGCCGTGTATTGCCCACTTCGTTGGCGATTTAGGACCTTCGAAATGGGAATTTTGGCGATGTGAATGATGGAAAATGTGCGTTATTTATCAGGACATCTGTTTCTGGCAGAATTGTCTCCATGTCGCAAATGTCACGGAATTTATCGCCGCCGAGAGTGGAGCCGGTCAAGAGAGGTTTGCCAACCTTCTCTTCTCTTCTCTCTACTGTCATCTGGGTGAAAAACTGTCGCTCCCAAAAAGGCCTTAAACAGTGCCTAGGAGGTCTGAAATGCAGTCAGAATACAAAGAAAAACAAGAAGACGCTAAAAGTAAGCTTCAAAGCGACATTCAATGTACATTTTGCTAATTTAGTGAGCAAAGAATATTTCTCCATACAACGTCTTATAATTTTCTTGCTGTATGAATAATTAATTAGCTAAGTAGGATAATGTTGTTCAGGGCTCTCATAGTGAGCTTGGGCTACCTGTGCTGACATCGAGTTGATAGCCTTATGTGTGCACCCAAAAAACAGCAATCATCTTCGATCACATACAAGAGCCATAATGGCTCTTGATCACAGTAGATTAGGCCTGGAAAACAAATCGGGCCAAATTCTTTGTGTTCGACAAGTTTACTTTACAAAATCTTGCCAACAAATCGGGGGGTGTGTAAACCAACCTTTTACACTTTTTATACATCACATCTGAGGCGAAACAGTACTATTTATCATACAGACCTTGCAGAATGCAATATTTCACAATTTTTCAAGACAAATTGCACTCAGTCGATATTCAGGACAATCAATCGTGGGTTTTCAGCGAAACCATTCAAAAAGTTTTCAAAATCACCTATACGGCCATAAAGTTGTCCCTTTCGACAGGCACCAAATTTGCAGTGCGAGTTGTGGTCGAGTTAGACTTGCCTACAAGTCGAGCTGAAATTTGTTCACGAGCGCGAAGCCCGAGTGGTAAATTTTTTATGTTTTCTGCGGCAAAAGCGAGCGAAAGAGCGAGAGCTCAACTTGTTTCCCCTGCGAAAAATCGCACCAAGTGACGTCATTTTGCCGCGAACTATTTGCGTCCCTGTCGCGTGTGTTGTCGCGAGCCTGTACTGTCGCGAGCTGTCAAAGTATGTCAAAACAAACAAATAACGAAAAAAATTCCGATAAGAGAAAGTAAATAAAATAAATAAAAGAATGTTCAATACAAAAAACGGGCAATGAACAAAAGTGTCGTCCTGTGATATTTGTGAGTTCAATCTCCAGACGTTTCGGGCTCGTTGCAAGGTTTGCATACGCCATGAAAGAAAACATTAAAAAATAAAAACTTTCAAGTACGCGCGCTCAAAACAAAACAAGTCGGTAATGTTTTTTCGCTCCATGGCTACCAGGAAAATCTGACCTTGGTAAAGTAGTCAAATGGAGGAGGATAAAACGCCCTTTAAAGCTTTGTATTTGAATACAGGCAATAAAACGAAATCGAAATACAGCCAGTACAAAATACACAGTTCAATTGAATTTGGATCAAAACAGTTCAAGTCACGTTCCATGGGCGTGATTGGGTTTGATTGACGGCGCATCAGTAAAACCATTCATGATTGGATAAAACCTACAGGAGGAAAATTCCTCTTGTAAATTTGGCGCGCTACAGGTGATAAAAGTCCTTTGTGCTGGGGTCAACTACCGAAACCGGAAATCAGAAGCGAAGGACTCTGGGAAAGTCTATGGTCGAGTGTTTGAATGAACATTAATAGAGTTACGCTTCAACATAAATAATTTATTACGTTTATTTTTTTTTTGGTTAATGGTTTTTTAACGATGTGTAATCTTAAAAAGCGTTTGATACGTGCGGCATTTTGAGTGCTCCTGCAAGCGATGTTCAAGAACGACTGAAAACAAACGGCACAGCGATTAAAATTGCAAGAGAGACTACTAACAATCAATAAAAGAAATATAATTCGGTGAAACATTTACAGAGACAACAATTTTCATTCACGAAGAGAGGTATTTAAGTGTCTCTAAAAATTTCTAAGTCTTTAAGCTTAAAGCTTAAGTTTATGTTTTAAGCCGCCCTGCCGGTGTTTGCTTTTTTTAAAAGATCAACTCAACGCAAGACAATCGCTCAAAGTTTTCCTTCTACAGCCAAATTTATAGCTAAATATTCTTCGAAACGTTTTCTTTCTATCTGCGGCGAGAAAATATATCTAAAGGCTTTTTAAAGTTCTTTAAGCTTAGATCAAGCCTGATACTCGGTCAGATCATTGTCTCAAATAAACTTGCCGCATAAACTGTGCTCGACTTCACCAAATTAGATATAAAAAAAAAACATCAAATACAATAATTACTCAGGCTTACCATTCGAGATGCAGCTCCTGAAAGCTATCAAGTAAGGGCAGAATCGCTTGAGCCTTTTAAACCCTCTTACGCATCAAGCAAGGTGAACACAAAAACGATGCCATCCGAAATCGGATTTCCGACTTTGATAAGCGACGCATTTCTCAACCCAAAACCCAATAAACAAACCAGCCATGAATAACAGAAGACTCTTGATAGCACCTGTTTTTCATTTTGGACACCCACTGGTAAAAAACAGTTAAAAACATTACAAGTTGACATAAAACTCTGTCAGCTTCAGCTGTCAAAGTAAACAAGTTTCAAGATGCTGCATAAATTTTCCGCATGAACTCACCTGTCAAATGTTGACCAATCAGACAATAAAAATTGGACATAGAGCGTGACCCACGCGTGAACATGGTAAGAAAAGGTCTTCCCCGCCTGTATTTTTAAATAAATGGCTGAATTTTTGCGTCCGAGGTCAGTTTGAAATCAAAATCTTAATAGTGCAGAGCCATAGTGACACAAACACAACATATTTCATATGAATTAAAAAAAAGAAAGAAACTTCAGCATGCGATCATTTGAAAACGTGTCAGCGGATATTACAAAAAAAATCGACAGCTGTCAATTGATCACAACATTGACGTGCAATCAGTTTTCTCCTGGGCTCCCAAACTAGCTGGAAAGTGTAAGAGTACACATTAGTTTCCCTGTGGTGCGGATGGATAGGTCGCTCGGGTGGTTGGTCGGTCGGTTAATACAGCAACTTACAACTTTTTTTATTTAAAAAAAAGACAAACTCGGCATCGAAAAGCCGGCGAGTCTGTCCGTTTTAGAATAGAGGAGAACTCTTTCATTTTTTTAGATAAGCTCACTTTTCAGTGAGAATATAACGCCGTAAACAAACAACTGAAAACAAACGCGAACGCAAAATTCAAGCGGTATTCAGGGCACAAGAAATTCTTGAATTCTACACACTGCAATATTCTTAAATGGCAAGTAATGAATGAGAAAATGAATAGCAATTCAATGCGGAACACGTACAAAAACAACACTTCAGTTTTAATTCAAGAAAGGGCCCGTCCGAAAAAATCTCACGATCTGTAGTCTCATGGTCGTTTTTTGAGCTGTAATGAATGAACAATGACAGATAAATAACTTACTTTCTTGAAAAATTTTATTCAAAATCCCATACGTTAATCCTAACAAGCAATTCGCTTAAGACAAGTTAAATCGTTGCGTTAACGCAAGTTAAATCGGTCGAGCACATGGTAAAAAAATCAATTTCAAAAGCACATTTTGTGGTTTTTCTTTCACGCCGACGTCAAAATGTAGAAAACGTCTATGAAACCTTTATAAACACAAAAATTCCTTTTTAAAAACGTACGTTTCTTTGATCATAGGGTACGGAATGTACCTCAAGAGTCTTCAGAAACCTTGCTACCTTGGTTGGTTCAGAACAAGCCAAGCGCTGCGATCCGCCGTGTAAAAAACAAGGTTGAATTCCTCGAAAGACAATTTCATGGAGAAAAGATTTCGTTTGTCCACAAAAAGGGAACTGAGCATTCTTTTGAACTTTCTCTTTCCATTTGTCTTTTATCGACGTATTTTCAATCTTGAAATGCAAACCTTTAGTCTTGAAAACCACCACATCATGGACGCGCGCCAGCCATTTTGCTGATGGATGACAATTACAAAGGTGTCAGATCCGTTTTTTCTTCCTTCAACGCCTAAATGGTTGACATGACCATTGGACGTTTGTGGTGGAGTGGGGTATGGGTGATTTTACTGATTTAGCTTGTATTAGAAGAATTTTTTCCCAAACCTCTCTGCAGTTAGAAATTTTTTCCACGACATATAACGGCGTAAAGTTTTTTTCTCAGCATTGTAAGTCATGAGCGATATTTTTTTCAGTGCAGGATATTTTTCTCCCAGGAATTTATTTCCATGCTTTTTTCCTCTCGAAATCAGTCCGCAGGACATTTTTTCGGAAATCACCCATAACCCCCTCAAAAGTCAAATGGCCGGCCCCTAAAATCCACCAAACATTTGGTCAGTTGACAGATTCTGATTTTTCAATCATTTCTAAAGGCTGTTGAAACAATAGGGCACAAAACTCTCTAAGGGAGAGAGGAGGAATTCGTTTCTACTTACCCCTACCCGGAAAGTCCGTACGGACGTACTGTGACGTCATAACCAAATTTTTCTCGGATGGATAGTTTACCAAATGTTATTACCCATGGCGCTCCGCTTCGCGCGCGCGGAGGCTCCGCCAACAACCTGAAATATTGGTCTGGTACTGCTGCATGAGGGTAACTTACCACTTTATCTACCCGAGTAAAGATTTCTTTACTGTAAGTTACTGCCATGATTCCTGGACAACGTTCCCCATAGCGTGGAACTGAACCGTCTTTATTGACACCAGTTATGCCAATAGTGTATATACTGTTTATAAGACCATTAAAGGAACAGCTGTCTTTTGAATATCCACCATTTCCCGCACCAAAAACAAATATTGAACCACGTCCTTTTCGACCCTGCAATAAACATAATTCAAGTCATGATCGCCACCTAATGAACTGAAAGCTACTAAGCAATAAATTTTGGTTTAACATGACGCCGTAAAGGCTGGCCCAAACTCAGTTCAATTCAATTTCAATTCAATTCAATTCAATTCTTTATTTCACACTATATAAGATATTTACACAAGTGTACGTAGGTAGGAAAATAAAGTAGCTGATAATAATTAAATCAAAGACATGAAGTTTATTTGTGTACAGTGTCGAAAGTAGCAAGAGCTTTCTTATTGGACACCGTCATGATCAGATAATCGGCAGCAGTAAAGAGAGGAAATAAAATCTCAGATAATATCAGTGATAGAATAAATAAGCAAGGTCAGATTTGGTTGGTTAGAAGATAGGACTTCCATTCTTTCTTAAATTTATGATATGGCAGACACTTGAGACCAGGCGGTACAGTCTCCCAGATTTTTGCAGCAGAGAATTTAAAGGACGTCTTGCCTAAGTTAGTGGATACTCTTGGCCTAAAATTATTCAGATTACTGACAAATCTTGTATTATGATTGTGTATACGCGATGCTGGAGTCAGGACATCAAGGGAAATATCTGTAATGCTATCAGTTTCATTTCTCATTCTATGTATAAGGCAACATATTTTTAATTTATATATATGATCTAATTTAAGGATTGTTAGGAGTTTGAAATAGGGAGCAGCACTCTCTCTAGGATGTACGCCTTTGATAGGTCGAGAAATAAACCACGTTATTTGACCTTTATCAGTAGCTACACTAGCTTCAGATTGTCAGGGCAGGCGTTTTGTTCTTGAAAGACCTGAAAACGTTCTGGATCCCACAAGTCGCGCGAAAAGCTTCGGTAAACTTTCTGTTAAGATCTTCTGGAGATAATATAACTGGAAAAGTCACTGCTGCATCTTTATTGGTTAAAAAAAGGACAGAACGTATCCTCGGAAATAACAGAATATTTACAGAATTCAGGCAGAACTTTGTTGAACGCATGACACTAAAAAAAAATGGATTTATTTCAGCTTCTGTAGAGACAAACGATTAAGTCAACCTTAGCATGCGACTGACCGAACACAAACGAGCGACGAGAAATGGTGACGTCAACAATCACATTTGCGAACACCATTTACAGACAAAACATCAAATCGACTGGGACTCTGCGACATGTATTACGTATTCTACAGACCACTATCAACGACTTACTTTAGAAAGCTGGTTTACTAAATTAGAACAAACGCCACTGAATCGTAGTCAACAGTTACCAGCACCGTACAGACGGCTTATTGACGAGATCAAGCAAAACTAACTACAAGAGAACGACTGGAGGACTGACAATTTGACTGACAATAAACGACTGTTTAGATGTGACAACAGACGGATCGAAACGCACCAATTACAAGTCTTCATAGCCAATATTATCACGGCTTAACAGACAGACGACCAATAACATCACGACGTAATTGACCAATCAGATCAATAACCAGAGTATACCATCAACTGACGTGATACAACTCACTTTGACTCTGAAGATGAGTACCGCACAGGTTGTCGAAACGTGAGTCACTGTCAACAACAACAGTCCTATTCAGGCCTACGTTCACCCAGACGATCAAATTCAACCTACTTCTGAAATGACTCCTGGATAAGTGTTTATTAGTCAAGTGTTGAATCTTTCTTTGACTATTCTTTATGATATCAGCTTCTGACTCGCTGACAAACTTAAAAAGTTACAAAATCGTGCTGCACGAGTAATCACAGGTGCTGACCACTTAACGCCAAAACTCAACTATCAAGAGCAAACCGTCCAAAATCAACCAAAATTGCATATTCGCGGCAATACTCAAAAACTCAAATTCGCTTTTCTCTTGTGTATAGGAAGACGCTGGTAAGAATAGTAACGCCATAGAGTGTTTTTCCTAGAAAAATCTCTTACAAATTTTTTTTCGTTTTGTGAAAAACGAAGAAAACCACTTTACGCGCTGGCGCCGATTTTGCAAGCCCAAAACAAAGTAGAATCAGGGATGAGTTTGCAAAATCGTGCCAAAATAACGGATTTCTTTTGAATCTATCGTACGCCTTATCATCTTCATCTTTCCCGGGTAAATTATGAACCAATTCAATGACCAATTCCCAGTTGGCTACCTAGCGTAATTAGGGACCTTACGATCCGACAACGGCGACGTCGATGAAAACGTCGCTGAAAAATAGACTTCACATCCTTTCAAAGTATTTCGCGATTCAACCAGGTCGCCCAGTTACTTAAAAGAAGGGAATTTATGTTGGAACTGAAGAGAGGGGAACGCGCCCGAGTTCAAACAGAGATGGTAAAATTTATCGCCTTGCCGTTCCCGTTCTCAGGTAAACTTAAATTTGGTCATTTCACGTCATAGTTGTGCAGGGAAGGCAAAGAAATGTACAAAAAAGCGTGATGCGTGTGCAGAGTTGTTGTTTTACTCATTAAACCTATTGCTTTTTTTGACGTTCACGTTGCCGTCGCCGTCGTAGTTTTGTAAGGTCCCTATTGGCTAGAGCGCCGCATCGGTATCCCAAGATTGAAATCCCGGCAAGGTTGAGTTTTTTTCAGGCTTTCTTTCTGCAACTGCATAAGTTGCGATTTTAAATCAGATGATCTTCTCTACATTTTCAAAGCCACCATCTGGACAATTAAATGGAAAATTTAGATCCCCTCTAGCCCTCCCAAAAAACCAAGGACGGAATAAATAAATCTGTGGGACGTTAACGAACCCACACACTCTTCGTAAAGAGTAGGGCATGTAGTGCCCGGTGTAGTGGTCTATCTCACTTTCACACTCATGTATGGGGGCATCATTACTCATTCCTTCATTACTTGTAACCTGCACCTTAAGCAGTCTGGCAAAGTCCCCCAACCAGGGCCTGAGGGGAGTAGATAATAAGATATTTACAAACTTACTTACTTACTATGCAGGGCAATTATGTTATTACTTCTAGCAAACCCACGGCAGTTAGTACACTGGGAGCGATTCCTAAACATAATTCTGCTGAAAAGTGCCTTATTACTGGGCTCCCTGTCCCACAGCCCAGTTATGAAATGAGCTCGGTTTTTCCTTCTGGCACAAATCGGACTCTTGCGTGTTCAGCGCGTGCACAAGATATATATAACAGTATGCGTAGAACAGGTCAGCGGACTTCAGAAGGGTACATTCCGAGGAGCTCGAAGCGACTTAAAGCTATTAGCAATCTATCTTCAGTGGAAGCATACGAATGCAAACTACGAATGTAAACGCTGTTCATGGTAAGTTCACGGTAAAAGATGGCAAGAGTACATTTTGGAAGTGGAATATTTCATGAACTATACTATGCGAGAGACCCATTTACAAGCGAACTCTTCCGAGTGAATCTTTTATCACGAAACCTTGTACAGTAAGTGAGCCACCTACTGAGTTTGAGGCGCTAAAAAAATCACCCGAATTAACTGTTAAACTCAAACTGTTCGATACGTAAACATTACGAGCAACTGGATCACTGAAATTCAACAGTGTTTTTGATCAACACAACAGTCTTATGGAAGATTTCAGTACTTCAATAGCCAGCTTTTAGGTAACAATATCCTTGCTTTTACATTTAATTTTTGTCTTGATTTCATTGATTTTATCTTTCTATGTTTTTATCATCATTTATGCAATTTATGCAATTATTCTTTACAACGATTCCGAGGTAACAATAAAGGTGAAAGATGATATAAGATCTTGCTACGCAAAGTATGTTTTCTTACTAGGAAAGATAAACAACGTGATCGTGAGCCTAGTCCCTTTGGGCCTTTTTACTGACCGAAATGATACACTTTCCTACCCTTTCATATACTTCAGCTAGTGAAATCTCTACCCCTTTTAATACCTGAAGCATAAAAAAGGTACCCCTTCCGCACGGAGCCCGGCATAAAAAGCACCATCAGGAGCCCATTTCTGGCGCCATATATGACTTCCGGAATGAACACTCTTATCTTATGCACACGTTAGCCTGTGTACAGACGTCCCTACTATGATCGTTCAAAAAATTGACTGAGTTCATTTTCATCCGGTCGGTTCGCAGTGTACTATAAAATCAAACCTTATAAAAATACTACTAATAAAAAACTAGAAAAGAAACGTTTTCTTGGCTTAAAAACTCTGTCCAAGTCGAACCAATTTGGTTTAGTTTAGACAATTTAACCCTGTGCGACCGCTTTAACTACAGCTCAATGGTATTGCACGCGATTGCGTATTGCTGAAGCTTTTCTCCTTCGAACGGGACGATTTTTTTCTTCTTGTTTTCCTCAAACATAGAGAAAAGCTCTCAAAAAAAAGTTCAGATGAACTAGAGATACCGTGTGACACGAAATTTTCGCGGGTTCTAATTTCTACGATTTTTGCGATTTCGCAAAAAAAATTATTAAACGAAAACATTTTTCCCGCCAAAATTTACTACAGAGTATTAAATATACTCTGACTAAAATTTACTACACAAAAATACAGTACTAAGAAATCGTGTCTGTTCAATTACAACTCGCCTCTTCAATTCAAAAACAAAACGGTATACAATGAATTGGTTTTACATAGTGTACGCATACCGTAGTGCTGTTTGAAAATCTGTATTTCTATTACACGCTGATTGCACGCACTTAACAAGAACGAACATACTATCAATGCTGGGTACTGGGTACTTTTTGAAAATTAATTCCCAGCAAGAAAAACCAACGTGTCCTGATGTCGTGAATGCCGTACGGCCGTTCTACACGATATCACAGTTTTAAGCAAAAACAAGGTTTATTTTACAGCTTCAATCCTCACAGTACAATGGCTCGCTCAGACACTACACGAAATCGTGACTTTCTTGATTCTATAAGCTTTTAATATTTAATCCGATCTGTCCGTCAGTAAGTTCTCTGTTGCTGTTTATGTTGTTAATTTAATTGAATACTTCGAATGTTTAACCCGGCAATCAGTAAAATCTGTCAAAAGAGGGAAACTATTAATA